TGAGTGTAGGAGGGCTATTAGGAAGGTCAAGCAGAGATGGAACTCAGGCTAGCTTCCAGGACTAAGGACAACAAAAAGTCCTTTTTCAAGTACTTTGGGAGCAAGAAGAGGGCACCAGGCAATGTAGGGCCCCTGCAAGACTCAAATAGTAACCTTGTGGCTACGCCAGAAGAGAAAGCTAATATTTTTAACAGTTTCTTTGCCTCAGTTTTCTTGAACATGGACCAGAACATCCCTCCTGCCAGAGGTAGGGACAATCTCGGGGATAGTTCTGTCAGGCCTTGGGTCAGCACAGATGTAGTTAGGGATCTTCTGGAAGGGCTGGACATTTTTAAGTCTGCAGGTCCAGATGCCCTCCACCCAAGGGTGGAGAGGGAGGCTGGCAGGGGTCATCGCAGAGCCTTTGGCCCAGCTGTATGTGCATTCGCGGTCATTTGGCCAGGTGCCAGGGGATTGGAAACTAGCTAATGTAGTCCCCATTTTTAAGAAAGGGAGGAAGGAGGACCTAAGTAACTATAGGCCCGTAAGCCTCACCTCAGTCCTTGGAAAGATCTGGGAGAAAATTATCAAGGATCATATCTGTGGGGGGCCAGCAGGGGAGATCATGCTCAGGGGCAAACAGCATAGGTTCATCAAAGGCAGGTCCTGCCTGACCAACCTGATTGCCTTTTATGACCAGGTAACTAAATCCTTGGATGATGGTGTCGCCGTGGGCATAGTCTTTCTAGACTTTAGGAAGGCCCTTTGACACGGTCTCTCACCCCATTCTCATTAAAAAAATTAAGCGCTTGTGGTGTTGATGCCTACACATTTGGATGGATAAGAAACTGGCTGACGGGGCATACCCAGAGAGTAGTGGTAGATGGGTTGTACTCAACCTGGCGAAATGCGAGCAGTGGGGTCCCCCAGGGCTCAGTCCTCGGGCCCACGCTGTTTAACAACTTCATCAGTGACTTGGACGAGGGGGTGGAAAGCACGCTGTCCAAGTTTGCTGATGACACTAAGATGTGGGGTGAGATGGGCACACTTGAAAGGAGGGAGAAGCTGCAACTACATTTAGACAGACTACAAAAGTGGGCAGATGAGAATAGGATGGGGTTCAACGTAGACAAATGCAGGGTGCTGCACCTTGGGAGAAGGAATCCACACCATACATACAGGCTGGGGAAATCCCCTCTCGAAAGCACAGAA